CGTGGTCACCCATGATGTGTCTCGTCATCTCACGTCTAGGTGATTCTACTCCTCGTCGTTGTCCTTCATATATCCCTTCGTACTCCTCTGTCTGTGATGAGTTCGGCTAGAGTCTCGAAGTCTCGCCGCCGAATGTAGAGCAGATAATCGGTGTGACTGTTTCGAAAAATTCTCTCCAGTCGCTCCTCCGGATTATACCCAGCTTTTCGCATTAAGTTCTGCATAGCCAGAACGTAGTCCTTGTATTTTTCTTGTACGTGTTGTTTACGTTGCCGTATGTTATCTTCAAGGCGTTCGAAGTATCGTGCTGGTAAGAAAAAACGCAGAAAGTCCTTTTTGAAAGTGGACCAACTCTTGCAATGTTCATTATTGTTGCGATACCATTGGAGAGCGTTACCGCGCAGTAATTCGGGCATGGTTCTCGGAAGGATGTCAACGTTTATCATGTAAACTTCGGAGAGCTCTTCCAATCGCTCGACGAACGCTAATGGATCTCGCCCACCGTCGTATTTCACGGACCACTTCCTCACCTGGTCGATGATAGGTGCGAATGTGACCATGTGGTTCTGTTGAAATAGCCTGCTCATTGGTGGCCGCTGTAGCCGTGATGATTCCGCGAGAGTGCTCGCGGTCCCTCTGTCTTGCTCTGGTGGGAGTGTTGTCTTCTGATCACCTTCGTTTCGTGAATCGATCTCACTTGCTTTGTATGCAGCTTCCATTTTTAAAATTTTTTCCTCTATTTCTGGGTTTTCGCGCACCTTGGCTGCCAATATAGTTATGCGCTTACGAATCTCCCGCGTTGTGCGTATGTGGTCAACTCTCAGACTCTGCGCGAAGGAGACTAGTTGCACCTTGGACACATTGTCTAACCACATGAGATCTGCCATTTCTGTATTAAACGTTTTACTGATGTTATACGATCCGCAGGGTCCCTGTTCGGGCGCCAATTGTAACGAAGCTTTTTGCTGCCCCTGCTTCTTGCAAGTATAAATTGGTGAGTTATACTCGCCGTGTCCAGGGTTCGTTACAATAAATTTGTAAATATTGGGGCTCTTCTGCGAATCGTATTTTATTCTATAATATAATATAATATAATCTCTAGTTATAAAATTGTCTCCCGCGTTGTAGTGTCGTCGCCGTCGAGAAGGAAAAAAAATTTTTACTTTACAAAGATTATTTGATATAGAAAAAAAAAAGTAAAGTTTACACCTAGGAGTATATATACAATTGTGTTTACAATGGTCATTTGGCTTAAAAAGAAATATTCTTAGATTTACACCTATAAGTATATGTACTTTTTATATCTTATATCTTATATCTTTTCTTTTTTTTCCAATTATTTTTAGTTCAATTTTTTTCTATTTCGTATTAATTCATTTTTTTTTTTTGCCATATAAATTAATTTTTTTTTTTTGATATAAACGTACTTAATTAAAAGTGTGGAGTAGAAAAAAAAAATTCATTAGGGTCCTTCTGTCGTCGTTGTTGTTGTGGCCTTACCACTTATCCAGGAATATGCTGCCCATATCTAGTGGGGTGAAAGCCGACCGTGGCAAATGTTTCTTGTGCCACCTGTGAAAGGTCTGCTGTCCTTCCTTGTATTTCTGACAAGACTCACACTGGCCTACGTACTGCCTAATGTCGCGGTACATTCCTGGCCAGTAATATCGGTTGGCGACTCGGGCTACTGTCCGCCGTATGCCCATGTGTCCGGCGCTAGGTATATCGTAATTCTCTTGTAGTACCCTTATGCGGAAGGGTTTAGGGACACATTGCTTCCAGGGTACAGCCTCTTCATCCTGAGATCGACATGGGATATGGCGATAAAGTGGCCATCCTTTTCCATGTAATCCGCGTACTTCTCTGGGTTTGCGCGAACTTCCTCTACTCGCTTTCGCCAAAATTTGCATTGTGGAGCCATCGTCGTCGCCTGCCTTATGGTCTCTAGCGGCTGTCGGGACAGTGCGTCAGCTACTTGATTAMGTTTCCCTTTACGATACTCGATGTCGAAGGTGTGCTGCTRTAATTCTAAAGCCCATCGTGCTATACGACCGGAAGGGCTCTCTATGRAATTCAGCCACTTCAGTGACATATGATCGGTTATTACCTTGAATCGATATCCCTCTAGGTAGGGTCTCATTTTCCCAAGTCCCCAGACAATGGCGAGGCACTCCTTTTCGGTAGCTGAATAGTTTTTCTCCGCCTCGTTTAATTTTCGGCTGGCGTAGGCTATTACGCGTTCGCCTCCTTCAAGGTTCTGTGTGAGCACAGCACCTAGACCGATGTTGCTGGCGACCGTCTGCAAAGTGAATGGCTAAATGGCTGAAATCCGGACATGCTAGGACGGGAGCCTCCGTTAACTTCTGCTTGATGCTTTCAAATGCCGATTGTTGCTCAGATCCCCATTTCCAATGCTTCCCTTTCTTCAATAGAGCTGTGAGCGGCTGACTCGTGGTTGCGAAGTCGGGTACAAAGCGGCGATACCAGGAGGCTATCCCAAGATATTGACGTCCTTCTTTCAGGGTTAATTCGAAGGTTGTTCTGCTGTAGTCTCTGCAGTACCTTTCGTAAATTTTGTATATGCTCCTCGAATGTAGAACCTATGACGATTATGTCGTCGATGTAAACGAAGGCGTTTGGTTCCATTTCAGGGCCTATGATCTGGTCGAGTACTCTTTGGAACGCTGCTGGTGCCGAATGTAAGCCGAATGGCATGACGCGCCATTGAAATAGGCCACGCCCAGGTACGTTAAAAGCTGTATATGGGCGGCTCCAAAGGTATCTGCCAGTAGCCGTTCTTGAGGTCCAGACTGCTAATGTACTTCGCTCTTCGCAATTTGTCAAGTATGTGCTGTATCCTAGGTAAGGGGTATGCGTCGGGTACGGATCGGGCGTTGAGTTGCCGATAATCCACGCATAAACGCCACTTGCCGTTCTTTTTCCGAGCCAATACAATCGGCGCGCTGTGTGGGCTGTGAGACGGGTCGATACATCCCTTTGACAGCAGCTCGTCGATCTCGGCGTTTATAATGGCCTTCATCGCCGGGTTCCTTGGAAATATCGTTGCTTGATGGGCCGGTCGTCGGTCATAGTGATTTTATGTTCCATCACGGTCGTCACTCCACTCATGCTTTCGAATTTTCGAAGTTCCTCGTCTAAAAAGTCACGTATGCGTGCAGCTTCGTTTCTCTGGTTGGCGGTCGATGAAATCTCGAGTCCATTGACCCTCCTGCACTTAAGCTTACGTCTTCTTTTTCGCTTCATACTGTGCTTTAGCAGGCATGTGTCTGGCGTAGTAGGGATCACGTTGCTTACAGCTTCTGATGATAGGGTACGGGAGGCTGTWGATTGATGAGCATCTGACGGTTTCAGCACGACCTGGTGACCTCCGCAGGATACTATAGCTCCCATGCTCCCCAGTGTATCCAATCCGAGTATGACGTCATCAATCGCTCCGGGCATCACGTATAACACTGCCTTTAGCGATGTCTGTCCGAGTGAATGTTGGTTTCTACGGCGTCGAAAATCTTGCTGGTGGTGCCATCGGCCATCTGGATTTCGATAGCTTCGGTCACCTTCTTACCATTCCTGGTTGCGTCCATACGTGCTGCAACTTGTGGTGATATGGTTCTCCGCCAAGCGTGATTAGGGCATATAGTCGGCCACGCTCCTGATGGTCTTTGGCGAAATCCTTGGTCGTTTTCCTGTTGCTGATGACAACACGTTAGCACGTCCGCTCGACCACACTCCTTACAAAACATCTTCCTGGGATTACGACATCTCCTAGCATCGTGTCCTTCCTGGCCACATCTCAAGCGTATATTTCCCGGCATAAAGGCTCTGCTCGTAGATGGTTGCTGACGATGCGCATCGACCGTAGTGTTATGTTGGGGAGACGCGTGCTGTTGTGGTGGACGTAGTAACGGCTTACTTGCATTTCTCACCTCGTGGTCACCCATGATGTGTCTCGTCATCTCACGTCTAGGTGATTCTACTCCTCGTCGTTGTCCTTCATAT